CACCACGTCCGCGTACTCCGTCACCAAAGGATACACCGGATCCTTGGGGTTCTTGAAAATCTCAGAACCCAACAGCGCCTGACGCTGCTTGTTCATGTCTTCCAGGACGTTCTCGTCCCAGCCAGAGGAGGAGTTCAGCTCCTCCTGAGTGGTCTCAGGTCTCATGAGTACCATCTCAGCAATCTCTCCAGCCTTGAGGTTGGTCAGGAAAGACTCAGCCGTCATTTCCTCGAGGTGCAGTATCTCTGCAACCTCTGGCAACGGTTCCAAGTGGACACCAGATGCCCTGACGGGTAAACCTGTCTCGCCATCGAAGATGTGATAACACTCTTCCACCGGCCTTGTCGGAGGAGCCCGGGCCCTGGACTCCGAGTCGCTTGAAGCGACGTCGATCGGAACGAAGTTCGGATCCGACTTGAGGCGGCGGCGGCGTCTTTGCCGACGGCGTCTGTGACGGGGAGCTGTGCTGCCCACGTCTAGGGATGTCGTCGCTACGACATCCGAGGCACTCGTGGCCTCGTGTGGTGCTGTTGTACCCACACAAGAAGCGTGTTCAACGCCTTCCTCTTCAGTTAAGGTCTGGGCGACCGCGTGTGGCACTGTGTTACCCACACAGCAAGCGTGTTCTACGCCTTCCTCTTCAGTTAAGGTCTGGGCGACCGCGTGTGGTACTGCGTTACCCACACAGGAAGCGTATCCGACGTCTTCCTCTTCAGTTAAGATCTGGGCGACCGCGTGTGGTACTGCGTTACCCACACAGGAAGCGTATCCGACGTCTTCCTCTTCAGTTATGGTCTGGGCGACCGTGAGTGGAGCTCTGTTACCCACTCTGAACACGCTGTTCTCAGTGTTCATGACAGCTGCAGCTGTCTGCGGAACTATGTTACCCGCCTGTGGACCTAAGTTACCCACTTGGCCGGCGCCTCTTCTGGGCGCGGCCACCATCAAAACATCCTCGCAGTCGTCATATACGTCGACGACTCCCAAGCATCTGCCGGATGCTTTGGTACCCTGGCAGCCCTCGCGGGCGCCCCGGGTCCTGACAGAGGTGGGAACATGACTCACCAATGCTCTGTCGGACTGCGCAGGGCGGCTGGCACCGATTGCCTTGCCTCGCCAGTCGATCCAGGGCTCGTGCTTCTCAAGCCAGGGCATGCCCAGGATCATATCATATGGATCCATATCGAGAACAGTGACCTGTTCGAGGCTGTCAAAGTTCCTTAAACTTGACAGCCAGATCCACTTGGACGTTGGGGACAGTGACGACCTTCCCGTCGGCCAGTCGCACTAACACCGTCCCGTTGCCCTTGCTTTCTCTCAAAGCTTCGGACAGCTTGTTGCTGTTGCGAGCAACCGTCTGGCGGCGTGCGAAATTCTTCGACGCCCCAGAATCGATCAAGATTCTAAAGGGATGATCATATCCCCGTACACATCCGTGTACTACGAGCAACACGCCGCTGCTCTTCGCCGATTCGAGAGTGCGAAGACTCTCAGGGGTTAAAGCCCCGTGGTACGCGCCACCCGCGCACCCATCACGAAGACTTAGTTCTTCCCCAGTAGGTCGCCCCGCCCCTACTGGTTCCCAGCGTTCCCGGATCCTGGCTTCTGCCAGCGACCCTTGAGGACGAGCTTGGGGAAGGACCGTCTGCGAAGTCTTTCAGCGGGACAGTCGCGCTTAAAGTGGCCCATCTTCCCGCAGCCGAAGCAGCGGATGTCACGCTGTTCGGCGGACCCGAGTTTCCTGGGAACTGGTCCGTTGGGGCTTGTTCGACCGGGAGCCGACAAGGAGCTCCCAGGCCATGCTGAGGCCGGCGTACGCGCCTGGCGATGGCTGTATTCTTCTTGAAGAGCCACTTGAATCGCCTCTTCGAGAGTGCTTGACTGCACCCGGAACAGCTGAGTGCGTGCGGGGCCCACTCGAAAGCCGTCCATGAACACAGTCATCTTATTGTGTTCGTTGAGTGGGTTTCCCACTAGGGACGCCGTGAGATCCCGTATTTCTTGCACATACTCGTGCAGTTCGCGCCTCTCTTGTTTACACGAAAGGAAGCGCGAACGTGGCGGTACTCGTAGTTCGCCGGGAGGAACGTGGCTCGGAGCTGTTCGCACAGCTGAGCCCAGGATGTGAAACATTCCTGGGGGATGTTGCTTCCCGTGTGTACACCCAAATCTTTAGCACGGCCGCTAAGGTTGGAGAGTGCAAAAGCAACACGCAGCTGCTCAGTCGAGATCAGAGCCGCGTCTATCGCGAACCCCACTTCTCGGACCCAGAAGTGAAGGTTCTCGCCTTCCTTCCCTTCATACGGCTTAACCTTCAGCCGTATTGGCTTCGGGTGAGGCGGATTTGCTTCCGCCGCCGGAGCCTGCAGGTTCTCCCGCACATGCGCGATGAGGCCCTGCTCCTACGCGTCGAATGCATTGACGCGCTCGAGCTGCTCAGCCGGTGTTGACACCACCAGGCTCTGCAGGGCCTCCATCCCGAAGATGCCTGCCATCTTCCGAACCGACTCGAACTGAGAGTCGTTCAATTGGGAGAAGTCGTTCCTATCCATGGCGACGAACTTCGGAGAGGTTCAGGTAGTCTACCCGCGGTGGCGAGGATTGACTACTAGTGTGACCAAGTGTGACGGGGTCACACAGCACCTTGCGCTAGAGGAAGTTATCTTCCGAGAGTATACAAACTCTGAGTGAACGGCAGTTCACAGGTCCCCTCTTTAATTAAAGAGAGCGAACTCTAGTGACCTAAATAAGGTAGATTGTAAACTGAGTATATTTATAGGTAGGTTAAGTTTGGGTTTAATACAAACTATTAGTTACCTATAGAAATGCAATGTCATTTAACCAATGGTTGGCTTTGAACGACCTTGGTACCTTGTACCAAATATCCCGGCGTATGACGTGTCATACTCCTGAAGTGTGAAGTGTCACACTTCATGTAACCAGGGTACACTTAGGGCTACGTACCCCGTTACAGTTCCAGTTGTGAAGTTTTGAAGCGGCATAAATCTCCAGCTCTCCTGGATCTGTGTCTCCGTTTTGAATATCCTCCAGATACTGCGCGTCAATGAGACCGTCGAGATCGTCCAGGGTTTTCATGTAGTTTACCAGCTCGTAAACAAAGTCGTCTATAGCAGCTGATGTGCCAAAGAGTAAACAGTAGAGCAAGCTTGGCCTCTCGTTCTCGGGCAGGTACCAGGAAGGAGCGGATACGCAGAGCTGCTCTCGATCATCCGCTTCATCAAGGAGATATTGATACGATGCGTGCCATTTCTTCATGTCCAGATCCGGTTCCAGAAGGCCTCTTAAAGCCTGATGACGCTTGTCTTGGTTAAAGCTTGACTTTGGTACAATCCCGCACAGTGTAATTGCCTTCTTGATGTCATCTGCTTGACGAGTTACTACCCAGTCCAGCGTCCATTCCGCGACAGTTTTGTAATGAGGGATCTTGGGATTTCCAGCAGCGGTTTGCATAGCCGGTCGATCAACGCTCTGCTAATGTAGTCATCATACTTGTTCCGGTAGAACGATTGATACCTACGATTGACAGCTACGTCAAGTGGCTGTAATATACTGGTGAGGTTGGGCGGCACCACCACGACAAAGATGTTGTAGCGCTCCAATAGTGTAGACTCTGCCAAAGCTACGTGACACGCGTAAGAATCGATTAAATAGAGCACCGGCTCCCTAAAGAATTGGGTTTCCTTCCTTGAGCACACCACCGCTTTAGAGAAGCGCAGCAGGATATCTTCGCTCCACATGCCAGTACTATTCACATCTACCAGAACACCATCAGGGCACTTCGGACGATTCTTTCGTTTTGAAAAGAGAAGGTGGGGCTTCAGGATGATTCCAGAGGCCGTAATGGCAAACGTAGCAGTGAAGCGCTTATGACTTGTCCCTCCCTTTTTTAGAAGTACCTCACGGGATCCACGAGTCGTGATGGTCGTCTTAGGCTCGGTTTCAAAGCACCTTGGTACTTGGTCTAACGATGTTGTCAAGCTTGATATTGTGCAGATCGATGAGTTGGTGAACACGATGAATGAAGTCACGGCAAATCTCTCCAGCATTATCAGGCAGTATTCGTGTAGTCGTCTGACGCCGAGAGACGAGGTTCTTCCGACGTTTAAATCGCGCCAATCAATCAGTAGACGCATTAAAGCCCGATGCCTGAGGATCATGTAGCTCTCGGTAGATGTTCAGAGCTTGCAGCCGGATGTAAGCATCCTTGACCCACAGTCCTCTAGTATTTCTGTCTAAAATCCACTCATGTAGACGACATTCTACATCACCGTGCTTGGCAGGTCTTCCTCCCCCTCCCAGCCTTCTTGTTGTACGCGTGGTAATATCACGGTCTCTCAGAGCTTCCTTTAGTTTGTCGCGGAGATCCCACCACCCTCGAATGTTCCTGGAGCTATTTGGTGTTTTTTTCCCTAGAGCAAAGAAGCCTTTTCCTTTGACGCCTTTGGCGTGTTGGGACAGGATATCCAGCTTCTCTTTGATAGTATAGTTTCGGCGCTTGCTTTTCACCATGGCAACTTGGGAATGAGCAACCGACAAGAGGAACGAGAGAAGTTGTGGTCAAACACTGACAGCCAACCACCTCCTATTACAGCTATAATTACACATGTTACTGTTATATGTAGTAGGCGTTGTATTTTGCTATGTGTTCTATACGAATATTTTATCGCGAAAGTTATAATTCCATTATTTTATTAAAGCGCCTAGGCGTAGTGTGCGGGGGAAGACGGTAAGCATTTCTCGGGCAGTAATCTTACCGACAAGAGCAGTATATAGAAACTCCAAGCAGCGACAGAAACAGTATATTATTAGCAACGGTGCTTAGAGAAACACAGGACCATGTGTATTTGACTTGTTTCAGTCGGAACGTGGGAAGGAGTAGCGACTAGCTTAAGTTCGTAATTAAAACACGAACTTAACATGTACTGGAAACAGTACTATTAATAGTCACCTCCTTTTCTAAAAAACCAGTACACTATTACATGTACTGGATTGTGGAAATTCCTCGCTGCACGACGCGCCTTGGGGCACCCGACTTCTGGCCGGAGACGTGTGCAGAGCGACGCAGCCATACACGCGCCTTCCTCCATTTCCATGCCGGTCTGGTCGGTGGATGGAAGGGAGGATTCTTTAGGAATAAAAAGGGCTAGCTCATTTTAAATGTAAGTCACCTCCGGAGGTGGCTTACTTTATAAGTGAGCTGGTCGTTGTCAAAAATGTGAGCGTAACCCGGAGGAAACGTTTTTTGCGATGTTCGACTCCCCCTTATGCAGTGTATGATACATTTATGTGCTGTTATTGTACCTTGACATTATTAAAAACTGAAAGGCCGTCAGCATTTTGTAAAGGTAACAGAATGCTGACAGCCGGGCGAGAAAACGTCTGATTCTGCACTGCAGGAAGCTACAAGTACTGGTAAAAAAAACTGGTCTGCATTGCAGTACAGTCTGAACTGCAGACCTGCTTTTTCTTTAGCCGAAGTACCTATTTTTTTCCAGTACAGTTACCGTCGGTAGCTTACCGATACCGCCACTGCATTAAAAATGATTTGTTTTTTAATAATCAAAGCTTCATAGTTCATATTATCCTTTCAAAAGCGTGGATATTAGTTGTGACCGTCACAACCAATATCCACGCTTAATGCGAAAGCCCGTCACAGTGACGGGCTTTTGTAACCAAATTTCAAATCGAGTACCGGTAGCAGCCCCATAAGCCACGCACTGTATTTCCTTACAGTAAATGTACAGATGTATCGAAATGATCACAAAATGATAATGTGCAAAACTGTACAATGAATACAATCGTATTATAGAGGTTTTGAAATCACTCTGTGTTCTCTTCAATTCGAAATCTCCTGTGGACACTTTAGTCTCTAAAACCGCCTAAATTGCTGGTCAGAATGCGCTTTAGGCCGTTTTTCGTCCTGGTGTCGGCCATTTTCGCTGTGAACTGCTTCAGTATCACTTGTGCCAAGGAACAAGTCACACTCACACTGCTTGACGACGCTGTGGAAGGTGCCGTCGGTAAAGTAAGCCAGAACTCGGGTAAACTCAGAGGTGCAACCAGTGCAACAGCGACCGGAAATGCCCTTGTTAAGGCTCAAGAAGCTGTCAAACTTGGTTCAACTTCTACGAAGAACTGGGAGAGTGCTATCGTAAAGTTCGAATCCGGTGCGAAGCTAAAACCCCTGGATACAACCTCAGGAAAGTGGAAAGGAGACTTCGAGAAGCTGAAGGCGGTAGGCCAATTCAAGAACGCCGACGAGAAGCAGTTCGTGAAACTCACAGAGGATGTCGCACAAGAGGTTGCCAAGAATCCGTCCAAGTGGCGCCATATCAAGAAGGTGCTGGAGATTACGTACGGCGTTGGACTGGCAGCACTTATCGCTGTTGGTTTAAATTCGATGGCTTCATAGTCAATAAAGACAAGTACCTCGAAGTAAATGCAAAGCCACTGTTGTTGCAGTGCCGGAAACTATGCACATCGATGGTTTTTGACTAGCTGGGAATTCGTGTTATTCACTTACTAATACATGTAGTAGTACTACCTCTGGTCCGAAATGATGGATAGTTTTACTTAAAAGTAGTTTAAAAACAAGTTCAGCAATTCTTATCAAAATCTAATTGGTCCAGCAGGAGCGCGTATTCGCCAGCTATTGGCTGGTGGTTTAATTTGCGCTGAAATCGTACTGGGGGCCGAGCTACATCTATTTGAATAGCCGGTCACCCTCTTCCTCATTTTTCTAGTACCCGCTCAGCTAGCACTACGCGCTATCCGTGCTCCCCGACTTCTCTTTGGCCAACCTGACCGATTGTCATCGCCGTTGCATCATCGACGAACTTCTAAGACTCAGTATTGACGGAGATCTACCCCATGGAGCAAAGGCGGACGTTACCAGAGACTTTAAGCGCAGTCCGTCCACTATAGGCAAAATCTGGACCCCCTATTGCATCAGCGTCACCTTAGGGGTAGAAAGAGGGGAGTGGCAACGTCGCATCAAGGAAACCTCCGGTAGAAAGAGGAAGGACAGGTCAAAATGCATCGCGCGAGTGCACGAACTTCCTATGGGAGACCGCTCGGTTGAATTTTTCATAATATGATTGTATGCTACAGGATGGTAAATACACCATACTATCCATCATTTCGGACCAGAGGTAGTAGTTCTTTTCGCATATTGTGGTCAGTGTGCTAAATTTGTGGGTCTCAATTCGCTCGGCTCTATGGTGGTAGTACCTAAAACAGCCTGCTAATAATAGTTGATGTGGAGATTATAATACAGTCGTGCACCTCGTATTCGGCGGGGTGGACCATATAGAGTCTACGAGCTGCGAATATTTATAGAGGAGCAGATGGAATCCAAATGTACTACTTTGTATTACCTTAATTAAGTACAAATCTCAAATTCATCTTCGACACAATACCAGTGTGATTCCAACAGTTTCGAATGGTCATTGTCGATACGTCTTGCCAACCTTCTGAGCACCACTTTCATCGCTGTATAAATATTGACGGGGGTATACGTCTCGCCTTTGTAAAACAGAGACAGTGTCCATGATGGCTCTGTGGCTGCCTTCCTGCACAAGGTTACTATTGCCGAGATTCAACG